AGATGTGATAGAAAGGCTCAGTTATGGCAAGTCTTTTAAGTTAAATTTTTCCTGGAAAGAACAGCAAAAGGATCCAGGAGTGGTAAGGGAAATGTCGTATTATGTTAATGTTTGTGTTTGGCTCTAGTTCACCAAAAACGAAGGTTAATACAGTTCTCTTTTCCAGTCTATGTATAAGTTGGCAAATGACAGGAACAACATTTGCTTCTAATCATCCATCCATCTTAATAATGATGAACAGATACAATGCAGAAACTATTGCACAACAACGAGCATTTTATGACATGAGACTCTTTGCCAATTTGAAAGAGGACCTCAAATCTGGGGAAAGTTACATTTTTATGTTTTTGATCATGATCTTCTTAGAAGATACTTATTTGTCCCATTTGCTGACATCATTAAGAATTAACAAATTATGTTGTTAAAGCATAACAAAATTTTAATGGTTAACAAAAACCATTAACAAAAGTTTAATGGTAACTATAAAGTCTGTTACTAAAAGAGAGATATTGTGGTGTTTGAAAGTAGGAAATGTTTACTGAAGGACCCTTCGGGGTCTAATTTCCAGAATCAAGGCAAAGCTCAGCTATTATGATCTAAAGAATAAAAAAAATAGTAAAACAGATGAGCAATATTTTTGTATGTTTGATGCCAATAAAGTTTCTTAATATTCAAGAAAGTTGTCAGTCATGTGGGTGCATTGAATAGGCATTTTTTTTTTAAAGCTAAAAATGGAAGGCAAATTATCATTAAAAGTTCTAGTTTCTTTCCAATGTGAGAAAGGGTCATTTTTGTTTTGGCCCTAGTGTGAGAAAGTAGGAGAGGTGTGCTCAGGAAGTGCCCACTTGTTAGTGCTTGTCACCAGAGAACAGAGATTGCTAAGTCACACCCAACACTCTAGGAGACCCTTCTCAGTACAGACTTTTTGCTACCCTTGACAGGGGTATGTATGTATTTGGCGCTCTGCAGAAGTGAAAGAAAGCAGTGCTAAATTCCACTGAGGCAGCATGGACACTGCCCAATACATTGATGCTAAAATGTCTAAGGCGCCCCATATCCAGGTCTCTCAGGCAAGGGGTGAACATGGCCTGTTCTAGACAAGGACAATTATGGGGGTGAGGAGAATAAGTTCTTACCAGTTTGGAAAATCTACTTACCATTATAATAAAAGTAAATTGAGACAATTATCTGAATAATTCAACTAAGTTCAGGCCAAAGTTTGTTTTGGTCTGAATTAACCAGATAATTGTGTTACAGTGGAAAGAATTTTGAACTGGGAGTTGGATCTTGGTTTCCACTTGGGTCTGCCACAAAGGAGTGTTTAAGCTATTCTATGGGCCCCTGTTTTTTTATCTACAAGATTAGAATCTATCCAAGACAATCAGTAAATTTAATTTTGTATTTTGTGTGGGAATACACATTCCCCAAGGCAAAAAATATCAAGTTTGTGAAACTGTGCAATAGTGGAACCAGAGTGGGCATAGGTAATTCTCCTTAGGCATGCTTCCAGCTTATCAAAGTCAACTCTGGGGTGCTCCTAGAGCAATCTATCTTTATCTGTTGGGGGTGAGACTTTCTCTGATTTCTTCTTTTATTCTTCCCCTCCCCTCCTTTTTTTGAGATTTCATGTAGGCTCAAGAATCTGACTCGCAATTCTTAAGGAACCTTAGTTAGATTGATCATCTATAAACTAAGGTAGTTGAAATAAAGTAAGCCATCTCCAGTGGTGGGTGAAGTTGTTTACCATCCTGGCTCATACACAGGCAATAGTCAGGGGCCCAGGACCAGGGCACTACCACCACCCAGCCCCAGACTTCCAGTATTTATATACGAAATACTACCTTATAAAGGGGAGTTTCGATTGATCAGGATGTTGCATGTCACTAACCAGAGAAGTGTTCAGGCCCCAAATTCAGAGGACTTGATCCCTGGCTTGGGGAGGGCCTGGCAGTAAGAGTGGACAAATCCTGGACACTGTAATTGATGTATCAGCTGGAGCAGGCATCCAGGCTGTGCATTTCTCTCCACCCACTTGTCCAGCATGGCCTGGAGGGGCCTTCTAGGGAGCGGAGGTAAAGGGGACTGCAAAGTGCCAATGCAAAGGCGAAGGCGAGGCGGGGGGTGGGGCGCGGGCCTTGAAAATTGACCAAAGGAGCCCTTAGCCCACATTCCTGGCTTCAGGCAAGCCTGACCGTTATCAAAAGGCCCTTCTCAAAATAAAAAGGCCCCCATTCCCACTCTGCAGTCCTGTGATCTCCGCTGCTGAGGTTCAGCTAGCACATGATTCGTATCCTGGGAGGGGCAATCTGCGGGCTAGGGACAGAGGTGGGCTGTGGATAGAGGTGGAATGGGTTAGGGGAAGGGGTGGGCTGTGTAAGGGGGTCGGACTGGAGGCTGGGGGTGGGACAAGTCCAGCCCTCTGGACGCTCTGAGCATTCCTCTGATGCCACTGAGGAATCCAGTTCCCTGGCTAGATGCCAGAAGGAACGGTATTGGATGAGTCACACCGCTGTGGCTGCTGCTGGAGGCCCGGGTCCTGAGAGCCCCGCAGAACCTCATCGCTGAAGGCCTGGGTCTTCGTGGCAACATGTGTTTCCCGTGGAATTGGAGCGTTGCTGGAAGTAAAAACAGCCGTGAAGCTTTCTGCTTTCATGTAGAAAACGGGACTTAAACATTTCCTTCTTTTCCTTTCTGGGCCTCCTCCACCCATCAGAGAGAGGGTGAAACTGCTGGGGCTGTGGGGTGTGAAGGAGAGGCAGGAAGGAAGCCACGGAGCCCTGGGACCCTCCACATCCTCCCCCACCCCTCCACCCCGGGGGCCTATCAGGTGATTGTTATTTGGGTCGTGGGAGTAGAAGCTTGGTCATGAACACTGAACAGCGGCACAAAGTTCATGCGATCGACCATTCTCTAGAAAACCCTATGATAACTGGGGAGACAGTGAAGGGGCCCAGAAGCTGAGGAGACCTCAGTCAATTTGATTCAGACTCCCCAGTGTTCATTAGGAAGGGAGGATTTTTTTGAGGAGAGGAGAGATCAGCTGTGATTTTAAAAACATCACCTTTGCCTTTCCCTTTTTTACATTGCTTTTTCGAGTTAACATAAATCAGTGGCAATTTAAAAATCTCCATTTGCAAAACTGTCATCATGTACCAATATAGAAATAAAGATAGTGGCTTTACAAAACTGATATAAAAAGTAGCACCTAGCTTCTGGAGGCAAGGCACATAGTTGGAGAGAAGTATCTACTAGAATCAGAGATGGGAAAGCATATGAAGTTGCTGACTCCCTGCTCACCATCAATCTTAGAGTGTGTTTTCAAGAAAACAGCAAAGAATTGAGCATGGGTGCTAATCATTTCAACCCAGTGAACTCATTTTTCCCCTTCCCCCCCTAGACTGTTTATTTTCTTAATTATTGGCTTTGTGGGTGCAAATATCCACTTAAATGCCCACCTTTTGTTATAATTCAACCCTATTATTATCACTCTTCATGACTACTAAGTAGATACAACACAAATCCGTCAAGACTTGTTACTTGTTAACTAGACTTAGGGATGTGCTTTTGTCTCTCATTTCTGCCAAAAGACAGCATCTTGAAATAAACTCCACTTTCTTTCCCCAACTCACAATATGCCAATCCCCAATCATCTTCTTGGATGGAATGAAATCTACTGGAGAATGGCAGGAACAATAATGAAGCCTAAATTTCCAGTCCGAATTTCTCATTGTATGGACTCTTTAGAATATTGCAATCATAAATTGTTAAAGTTCCACTGTCTTTGAATTTATTGAGAAATAGTTGTTCACACTTTTCTGGTACTTCCTCTAATCAATATGGTAAATTGTCTCTGACATATCTGAGATGGCATATTCTCTTTAGATCACAACTGAAATAGGCCTGGCAGCCGCACATGTACAAATGCTCTCTTCATACAGAGGGAGAGGGAGAGGGAACTACTGACTGGTTCACAACCCCAAATGGACTTTCTGCATTCCTAAAAAGGTAAAAGGTTTTGTTTGACAAAAATTCACATTCGAGTTGCTCTTAAAACTGCCCTGAAGAAATCTTTGGTGTGTTAAGTTGTATGTCAAGATTGTTTCCAGCATTTTGAACCCCTAATCAGAACCAATTTACCTGAAAATGTCTGCTTGACTATAAGCTTGTTAATAACTTGTTTGCTAAAGGATTCTTGGGGCACACACTTTATGATTTGTTCTGGCAACTCAGAATTCTTACAGAAGTCTTTGGTTTTAAGCTTTAAGAAATCCTATCTATGGAAATCCCATCCTGGATATTTGTATAGGAATTTATTAGGTAAAGAAACCTGCTAACTGCCTCTACCTTTAATGAATCATCAGGAAAATATTTTGATGCCCCCATTGGAAGTTTCTTAAGACTCAAACCTAAGCCAATTTTTGGGGAGTGGAGGTTAAAATTTCTTCATCTTCAGCCCATCACCACAAAGTGCTAAAGTCAGTTGTTTTATTTAAAAATAAGCAGTATGCCTGGGTTTTATAAAATTTATACATGAATATGTACAGAGACACAAATAAAATATTAAAAATAAAAATCACACTTGCTTTCACACGGTAGTGGTCCTGGCACCCCATATACATGTTAACTTTTCCTTTAAAGAAATTACGTGGCCCAAAGAGACCACAGTTAGAGACCACCAAACCACTAATAAAGCTGTAGCCCGTTGCCTGCAACATTTTAAACTCAGGTTTCAAAAATATATAAATAATTTAGTTACAAAACTCATCAATATATATATATTTTTTTATCTTTTGGCACAGTGAAGCATTGGTCAATAGAAGAGAGATGACTGAAGATTCTCTGACACTTCTCTCACATTCAGTCATACCTGTAAATGACACATACGTACACAGAACAGGGGCCCAACAAACCCCAAATAGTGGTCATATAATTTATCATACGAAATGGTTCCCTGATGTGTTTTTCTTTTTTTGTTAGGGACAAATCAGTGGAAGGTGCGACAAAAATAGTAGGAGTAAGGTGGAGCCTGGGCAGTCAGAAGAGAGAAAAAGTCTTTGTGAAGGAAAGGAGGGGCAGGCTTGATCAAAAAACTCACAAACCATTATGAAAAATTGCTTTGGTCCTCTGTAAAATTATAAAAGGTGAAGGAAACATTCCGGACTAAAACACTTCTGTTAAAAAATTCTTAGGTTTAAGGCACGTTTGATGGAGAATTTTCTTTTAAAGTCTCCTTTCCTCTGGACAGAAAATGCAAAGCTCTGAACCTGTGTTCCCTGCTTCCCAGAAGGCGCCCACCCGGGCGGAGTTCAGCGGCTGTTGCTCAGGCTAGGAGCTTCTCCACAGGGTAAGGCAGGTGCGCGGCAGGGCCTCGGGCTGAGGCGGTCTGCAGGGCTGCGGTCAGCCGCAGGGGGCAGTACAGGTGCGCGCCGCTGCCGGCCACCGGGCCTCGGAAAGGTTTGGCAGGAACCGAGGCGGAGAAGGGCGCAAGCAGGACGTGTGGCGCCGAAGGCAACGCCGGCTCGGCGGCGCGGTACGCGCAGAGTGGCAGCAGGGCTCCGCCAGGCGCTCCAGGGAGGAGCGCGGGATATGTGGGCAGAGGCGGACAGGGTGCGGCGCCCCATGGCAGCTGCGGCCCGGAAGCCGTGTTCCCGTCGCTGCGGCTGCGGAAGGGTTTGCTGAGGATGCTGTCTATAGCGAAGGAGCTAGAAAATTTGCCTGCGGGGCTGACGCGCCCATCTTGGTGGGCGGGCGAATGCGCGCGGGGCGAGGCTGGGGGAGCCGGCGCCGGCGGTGGGGGCGCGGCAGCTGGGCGGGCCACGGCCTCCTCCGGCCGTAGCACCGGTGCGGGAGCCGACGCGCGGTGACTGAGGCGCTTTCTTCGGCGGCGGAAGACCCCGTCAGCGAAGGTGTACTCGCTGTTGGGGTTGAGCATCCAGTAGTTGTCCTTGCCCCAAGGTCGCGAGGGGTCGCGCAGTACCTTGACGAAACAGTCATTGAGCGAGAGGTTGTGGCGCACCGAGTTGCGCCAGCCCGTGTAGCTGCCACGGAAGAAGGGGAATTTGTCCATGAGGTACTCGTTGATCTCGGCCAACGTCAGGCGCCCGCCCGCGGAGTCACGGATGGCCATGGCGATGAGTGCGATGTACGAGTATGGGGGCTTGGGTCGCCGCGTGTACGGCTTGCCGCGAGCGCCCTCGCCTCCCCCAGCGCTTCCCGCCCCTGGCCCCGCCGCCACGACCCCCGTCGCCGCCGCTGCCGCCGGGCCTTCCTCCTCGGCCGCGGGTTCACCTCCCGCGCTCCGCTCGCCACCTCCCACCAGCTCCCCCACGCCACCGCCCACCGCTGGGCTGTTGGCTGCACAGTCCCCGTCCGAGCCAAGGGAGTCGTCGCCGGCTGCCGACAGAGGAGATGGCGCGTCGCTACCGCCTGCGCCTTCCAGGTCACTACCTGGCTTGTCTCCGTGGGCCGCGCGGGGGCCGAACACCTCCAACTTCATGTCCGCGCACCCTGTTCCAGCCCAGCTCCGTACCCCTTTCCTCTGCGCGTGGTGGCGATCCAGGACCGAGAGTCCTTGTTTTTCCCTCACGAGAGCTCACCTTCTTGCGAGAGACAGTCACTTTTCCGTAGAAGAGTTCTCTTCCGCTGAAATGTTTCTTTGGAGGGGTTGTGCTTATTGGGTGAATTAAGAGGGGCGGAGAGGGAGAAGTTGGGTGAGCGCTGTCTTCAATTCGAGGATAAGCGACTCCGAGATGAATGCATGCAGGGATGTGGTTCTAACCTGTGGTGCCCAGGCGCAGGGGGCTTGGGATTTCCTGCTGGAGGGAAGAAGCGTGCGCATCTGCTATACGTCCAAGAGACCAGGAGGGCTTCTGAGCAGGCTTCCGCGGGGCAGGTAAATAGTGCAGGCTAGTGTGCTGCCACCTTAGGGGAGGTGCTGAGCCTTCAGCCTTAAGCGCCCTTGGAGCCGAGTCCCCGAGGCCTTGGCTCCCACAACGGTCTTCCCACCCCCAGCCTTCGGAGTAGCATCTCCGCGCTGGGCGACTGCCGCTAAGTCTCGCCTCAACCTTCGGTCCCGCCGAATATAAACCTGCGGCGGCGGGGGCGGGGGCGGGGCCTGGGCGCTGTAGGCAGAGGGGTGGGGAAACGATGTGGCCTAGGTGGCGGCAGCTCCCTGGCGAACGCGCACCAGGTCGAGACCAAGCGGCGGCGCGGAAAAAAGTCGCTGCGCGCAGGTTGTTTGTTTTGGGTCTGACCCGCCCCGCCCTCCGCCTCCTGCCAATGAGGAGCGTGCGCGCGACACGGATTGTGCGCGCGACAGGGATTGTGCGCGTGTCTGTGAGTGTGCTTGTGTGCGTGTGTGCAGGTCTCGTCCGCCTGCTCCTTGGCTCAGCTCCAGAGGGGTCCCTGAGCCCTGGAGCTCAAAGAAGCAATTTGGGCGAGAGGCCGTGGCTGGGGTCACCTGGGAGGACAGTAGGGACTTTGCGCAGGCCTGTGGCCTTCCTAAGATGCACACAGTGTGTATGTCTCTGGTAGTGAAAACAGTGCTTTTCCAGAAAGTAAACTTTCTTCCCTGACGAGGTGCTGAACAGCAGAGACCGCACAGGACATACTTTGAAGTAACTTCTTACGGGAGCCACATGCTGTTCCCCCGTCCTACGGTTTCTTTTTGAGGACTATTTTTGTCTTCTTTCCTTTTTTAATGAATAAAATACTGCACTTGATATACGCCTTTTTGGATGACCTTGACTCTTGCTAAATGGCCGCCGACTTTCACTTTTCTTTAGCCTTCCTTTATCTTTTTCTGTACCTGGCTGGTAGCTCTTGGGGAAGAGCACCAGTGTCGCCTCTTACCTGGGGCGGCTGTATCTGGTGCGGGAAGGCTGGCTCTGCTTTAGCGCGTGTCCCTGCGGAAGCCTCTCCCGAAGCAGAGCCGCGCTCTTCGTGGGTTCCTACAGTCAACAGGAACGACAGGGAGGGCGTGTCCCGGGGGCGGGGGCCTAGAACACTACGTGTTTGCGGCCATTTCTTTTCAGTCCTCCTCGAGGGCTTTTGCTGTGGTTTCAGTGGCACCGGTGTCCGACCGTAGGGAAGGGAAGAGACTTTTCTCCGTCCCAGGACGTTCGAGCCTGACGCCTACGCGGTGTCAGTACTCCAGGGAGGGGCCCAGTGGTCCCCAAAGGGTACATTTCTAATCCGCTGCCCTTCTACGCTGAGTTTTCCTCCCTTTTCCTGCCTTTGTTGCAAATAACGACGGAACTGCGAATACGTGGGAGCTCATCTTTGATGTTTATTTTATTACTTTCCACCATTTGTGTAGAAAACGTACACAATCCTCTCCTGTCTTTATTCAGGCAGTTTTAAAGGCGTTCAGCATGGGGTGGGTAAAATGACTGACCCATCGAAGGCTCTGTTATTTTTGTGTTTGGGGAAATTATCACGTTTGGAGATTAGACTGACATCTATTGCGTGTTGGAGTGGGGAGCTACGTGGAGGAATGGCTTCTTTCCTTGGGACGAGCTGCCCTAAAGGGGATCTGCTCAGCTCTAGGAGTTTATGGTTCCCTGGACCTGGAGAGGGGAGTGGGCTGCGACAAGAAAGAAGCCAGGTAAAGAAACAACGATTTGACTAGAGATAATAGACACACACAATGAATGTTATATCTATGTTTGAACTTCGGAGGTGGGCAGGACAGGAAGACGAAGGCTTATTTTATGGAGGAGATAAACCTGGGCCGGTTGAGGTGTGGGTCCAGGTTGGCTAGAGTCTAACGGAGGAGGCTGCTGAGAGACTATAGGGTCGAGGTTTTCTGCCCACCCCCAGTTCCACACGCCTGCCCCCATGCAATCCAAATACCCTCAGGTTTTTGGCAACACCTCCTTCCGTGTTTGCAGCAACTTACAGTTTTCCTCTCCAGACTTGTATGACTTCTTTCACCCTGGTGCAGCACCCTCCTATCTCCTGTCCCGGCTCTCTCCCCAGGTCCCCCAGCCCAGCTGCTCTAGGGTCATCGAGTTAGCCTGGGAAGTTCCAATGGACTTTGGCCTGTTGATAGGGATATTGTTCAGAGAGAGAAGAAAACTGTGCACCACAATGGGCCTTGCTGTCACATGACCTTGAGGCTGCCACTCACACATGATTACATGACCTTGAGGTTGCCATTGTTCCTTACTCACCTGTAAAAAGATGCCTATCAGAATGGACTAGAAGTTTTCTTTCAGCTCCTGAGCAGTTAGTTTTTTTTAGTGCTCATCTTTTCTTGGGTTGAATGTACAGCAAGTACATTTCTGTCCCTGGGGATCCTTGGAGCCATTTTTTTGTGAGCTCTCCTTCAACTGGACTACAGCAGCCCAGGATGCAGGTGCCTTGGCCTGGTGGGAAAGGGAATGGGTTGTTGCTCTCCATGGCAGGTAACCTGGGGTCTAGGATTATATCCTGCAGCCTCTCCCCTCCTGTGGACAAAAGGAGTCCACAAAAGGTCACTGCCAAGGAAGATATACTCTCCCTATTCCACTTTCCTCTTTTCTTACCCAGTGACTTGCCCTGCTCCAACAGCAGCAGCCTCTCCTTACCCCATTCCACAATGTTAGACAGGGAAAAGACCTTCCAGTCACTCCTGTGGGATAGGCCTTTTTTCCCTGGCTTCAGGGCTGGGCCACTCAAGGGCTGTTGTCTGCAAGTTTAGAGCCTATAAAGGTATGGGGGTAATGGAGTGGGATCGAGGTCGAAGAATTCTCAACAGGAAAACCTGTTCTATTTTCAGAGTGACTTAGAGCATTGGGACATAGTGGACTTTGGAAAGGAATATTCCATGTGAGAATGGCTGGCAGAAGGCCACCTGGAAAGGATCAAAAGATCCCCAGGAACTAGAATGTAAGCCCCATGAGGAGAGGAATTTGGTGTTTTTTGTTCACTGCTATATTCCCAGTCATTGCCTTGAGAATGACTGTCACATTGTGCTACATGCTAAGAATATGCGGCATTTAAGATCAGGAATAAAACTGCTCCTTCCCTTTGTGGTTGATTTTGGTATATTATCTTTAACTGTTATTTTACAGCTGGGAAGTCATTCATCTTTTGCAGATATAATAAAAAACGGGAATAGGTAGGAAAGTACATCATTCTCTGCACTTCTATCCACAGCATTCTCAAGGCTAGGAACAGTTTAAGAGCTCAGACACTGAAAAAAAATTCACATGTAATATTTTGTTAGTTCCTAAGTTCCCCAGAAATTCTGGGAATTTCTGTTCCCTAATTCTCAATCCTTTTTATTGGGGTGGGAGAGTCTACTATTGACAGGTAACAATAAAAGCCTGTAGGTAGAGCATGACCAAATTACTTGTAAGTATGAAAGATCTCTTAGCTAATTTTGTCCCTCGCCTCTTAATTTTCATGGGAGTAAGTGAGTAAACTGTGGTACAAGATGAGTTTACATTTCCATGATCTCCTGGCCTCCCAGAAGTGGTTTTAGGTAAAGGAAGATAATGCATCTTATCTCCAGACACCAAAAACTAACTTTAAATTAACTATAGTTTATCTGTAACTTTAAGACTTTCTGAAATTTGACAGTGCTTCACTGCCTTAGTTCCTAGACAGTGATGTGGGAAGGAAATAACTTAATTCCTAAAATATCCAAGGCCACTTAGTAGGCTGGAAGTTGACTCCCAGTGGAAATATTGATGACTTGCCCCGTGCATTAGAAGAGCACACAGGCTGCTAGCACAAAGGGAGCTATGGAATCACCTCAATAACATTCTCCCAGGCAACCTGGAAACAGCTTTGAGTTTCTTGCCATGTTAACCTCTACCAGAAGCTCCACTGCTGGCCTCTGGGTCTGAAGGGAAGATGAACTTAAAAGTACCTTTCCGTGGAAACTGTGCCTCTGGAGAAGATTGTTATAATGCTGTTAAGAACTGTGGAGACCCAGGCACAGAGAATATGCTAATGTTGAGAGCTCCAGGGAAAAATACATGGATTTGAATCTGTGCAAAGTCTCTCTAGGAGAACAGAGAAGGTTGAAAGTCAGTTCGCAGTGAAGGGCTTCTTCTAAGATACATTATGGAGTTGTTTTAACTCATAGCTCCATAATCTGTCTGGTTCTTTGTAAATGCTAAACACCTGGGAAGAATCCTGCAGAAATTGAGAGCGGGTATGGGAGAAGATAGATAAAACCTAGGTCTTTTTACCTATCTATACACTAGAATCAGACTGATTTGTTTGCATGTTTGCAACATTTATTCAAGCAGTCTCCTTTTGATACTCTGGCCCATGGCCATGGTTTAATCAAAGAATCTTGGGATTTATCTGAGCATTATTGGCCAGGTGGAAATCTGAGGACTGTATGCAACGTTTCTTTTAAGAATCCAGGAGTCACAACCAGTAGGAAACCTCTTGGACTTTCATTGAACTGAGGGATTGTTGGGCTACAGGAGTCCTATCCCTAGGTAGTGGGTCCTGGGTTGGGGAAATGGCAGGGAGGAGGGTCTTATGATGATGCAGAAGAGAGCAAGTAGCTAAAGGTACGTTGGGGAGGTGATGGGGAAGAGAGACTATGTTAGCCACAGTGTGACAGATGTTAGAGATCACTGAGAAAGCTGCCTGATTCTGCAATTCAGAGACAAAATCCTCCACTGTGTATGAAATGTTATCAAAGAATGAAAGAAAGCCCCCAGGGTGATTTATTACAATAAGATGACAGCTTTGATACTAGAGTCATGGGGTCCATCCCTTCAAAACTGAGCACATCTGAGGAGCCCTTCTTATCTAGTTTTACTTCAGTTTCCCTATTTTAAGGAACTGAAAGTTCCTTAAAATTTAAGTTTTAAAAGCGGAGCAAGAAAAATTGA